CAAATATAGAAATTAGGTCACTAGTAATTATGGAATGAACTAACTTTTTTATTCAAGAGAAAGACTTCCATGCAATATATTCAACTTTCAAACACCTACCCCTTTTATATTTCCTAGCCATCGTAATCCTTGAGTGAAAGTTGAATGATTAACTATTAAAAAATCAAGACTATTGGACCCTCTCACTTTAGTTTAATTAATAAAATAAGATGGCTATGTGGTTTATATTCTACTCTGAATAATGGTTAAGCCCCGTGCATGACTCGCCACCTAATTCAATTTGTCTTTAACCTAAACATTTCTTATGGTATCATTTTAGAAAATGACTATAAGTAAAGTACAAGCTCGAAATATCTATAGAATTAGGGAAATTATACATTTATTTATTGTAATTTTTAATGCCACTTCAACGAGCATAATAAAATCTTCGAAGAAATTTCTTCTTCGTAAAATAGTTGAATTTGAAAAGTATTCTTTTCCTACATAATTAACACGAAAGATTAGAAGACAACCGAATATCGACAATCGAGAAGTTAGTAAAACAAAACTATGTTTATATAGTTGAGAAATCAATACAAACTGATTTACCCTATATGCACTGAATGCACGTGTAATTACTATCTCGATCTTATGTTCTATTAAAATCATCCAAACATTTTAAGTTTTAGATTCCTTATATTTAGGAATCAAAGAGTCATTGGCTCATTGTAGGAGAGAACTTGATTTATATGTAGTTGGTTGGTTCAAATCTGTAATGTCACGCCCTTGGTCTTTGACTAAATACTCGTGCGGCACTTGACAACTCGCTCACGATTTTGTACAGCTTGCTCATGTTCTTGCTATGCCAAGTCAGTCTTACTACACTAAAGATCGCTAAGAGAATATTAGAACACGGGAGAATGGCCAAAGGAAGTTTTTTATTGTAGAGAACTTGATTGTTTTGCTTGATTGATCTACAAATGAATATTCTCCTTTATATACTAGTCTCTTAGGGGCTAGTGAGTAAATAAAAATAATTACACAAGTCCTTTATTATTTATAAGTGAGTCCTTTCTCTAGAATTTTCTACATAGCTAGAATTTTCTAAGGACTTTCCTACCACATCCATAGGGTTCTATGATGAATGATCTTTCTAGGGAAACCTCTATAATTCTGTAGAGTTTTTCTACAACTTCTAGCTTCTTTCCTATGTAAGCTTTTCATATGGAAAAAATATACGCTAAGTGGCACCAACGTGGCATGATAACGTGGCGGGTCATGACACTCTCCCCCACCCAATTTTGTATCGCCCTCGGCACAAAGCATCAACACGTATGTGCGCACCTCGCCTTGGCGTCGCCAGAGATCTTTGTCCATTAGCCATGATGCCCTATGGAACGGTTTGCCTTCTCATGTCACAAGGTATTGGTTACCTTTCTTCTTGCCCCATTTGTACTTTGGACAACTAGCAATGAAGGCCTCGATCCTCCGCCCATCGGATGTCTCTCCTTGTTCTTGGCCTGAATCTTCCCATGACTCAACCATGTCTAGCAGCTTTTCAAGCATCGGGTACATGCTTCCACTCCCTATTTGGCTGCTCTTCGTGGTCCCAGCCTTGCTAGCAAACTTGACCCCTCTGTTTGGTTCATCGTCTAAGTCTGATAGCATGCCATCACTTTGTAAATCGCCATCCTCTTCAACTATGTCCACCCAACTTTTTTTGCTACCACCATTCTCCATTTGCATGTGCGGCAAGATAGGCTTTGGAATTCCCTACTTTCGACTTAGATTCCAAGCGCATCCCTCCAATGCAGGCGGTCCCTCCTGTGTCACCCATATGTGCCTAAGCAATGTTTCCGATTATTGTTGCAAGCTTTCCCAACTCAAGGAATTCACTTGCCCGATGTGATCCTTTATAGAAGTAGCACACTCCTTTAGGCACGTACTCGCTACCATTTTCCGGCCCCTTGCCATTTCTCTTGGACCCCCATCCGTTATGGGATGGCCTCTTGCTATTGGCCTTGTATACCTCGGCTATGCTTTTCCCGTTGTCCTTGTCATAATCTCCCCCACCCCTCTCGGTGTTGCCTTTTTAGAACTTGGCAGGCTTTAGTTTGAAGTCAATAAACGACTCGGCTACCGCTTTGGCCTCATCCACGTTGGCTACTTGATGCCTTCTTAACTCCTGCTTTGCCCAATTTTGCAACCCATCCATGAAGTAGAAGAGTGAATCTTCCTCGGATAATGATGGAATTTGCAGCATTAAGGTAGTGAACTCGCGCACATACTCCCGAATTGTGGTCGTATGTCGGGGATCCCTTAGCTTCCACCTATCCTCATACACAACTCACCGGGTATAATTCCTTCTTCAGCTCATTATTGAACTGCTCCCACATCTCAATCTTGCATAGCCCCTTCTCCATGTCAACACACTTTTGACGCCACCATAACGCGGCAATCTCTGAGAGGTACAACACAACAGTGTTAATCTTGGCCTCGTCGTCTTTCACTTTGCCGTGCTTGAAGTAGTTCTCCAAGTGCCAAAGGAAATTATCCACTCTTATGCATCACGAACACCTTTGAACACCAACGGTTTGAGAGCCTTGATCTTGGCCTCCCTCGTTACAACAACATTACTGTCTGCATCGGTCGCGTCAGCATCGATATGCTCCTCGAGTGATTCTATCTTTGCCTTCATAGCATCGATAGTACTCAAGGCCTCCATGGGTCTGCATTCCAAGACAATGATGGTTTGCCTTAACTCCATCTCGGTCTGTGTACGTCCCTCCAAGTCATATCGGATGCCCTCAATCTCCTCGAGAGTGTGTCCCTCAAGAATGCTAAGTGTGCCTTCCACTTTCCCCAAGCGTTGGCCAGAGATCTTGACGGCGACCATCCCTGGATTCACCTTCATCACCTACTCTTTACCGAGTGAGACATCCTTCGGTAGGACCTCCACTTCATCCTTGCTTGCCTCAGTGGTAGATGGTTCTTGGGATGTAAACCCCCCGTCTGGCACAATCTCGGGCGGCACCTCCTGGCTCTTGTTGGTGGCTTCCTCTTTTTGTTACGGTCGTTCTTTCCAGCAACATCCTAGATGATGTTGGATTGAGTGTTGGCAACGTTAGTCTCTCCGTCGTTCGCCATTTCCTTAGTTGCAACCTTCGCTCTGATACCATGCCCTTGGTAATCTCGAATATGGTTCCCTACAAATTTTCCTTCAAGCAATCACTTGTATTCTATCTAACATTCTTTTAGTTATAACCTTTGATCTGATACCATGTTGTCATGTCATTAGTCTTTGACTAAGTACACGTACGATACTTCACAACTCGCTTACGATTTTGTACAGCTTGCTCTCATTCTTGCTATGCCAAGTCAGTCTTACTATACTAAAGATCACTAAGTAAATGTTAGAACACAGGAGAATTGCCAAAATAAGCTTTTTATTGTAGAAAACCCAATTGTTTTGCTTGATTGATTTACAAATGAATACACTCCTCTATATACTAGTTTCTTAGGAGCTAGTGAGTAAATAAAAATTATTACAGAAGTTCTTTATTATTTACTAGTAAGTCCTTTCTCTAGAATTTTCTACATAACTAGAATCTTCTAAGGACTTTCCTACCAAATCCATAGGGTTCTAGGGTCTTCATAGGGAAACCTATATTTCTCTAGAACTTTTCTAGAAGTTCTAGCCTCTTTCCTATGTAAGCTTTCCATATGGCAAAAATATACGCCAAATGACACATACGTGGCATGATGATGTGGCGGGTCATGACACTAAGCTGTAATTCTAACCTTATGCAGGAACAAAATTTAATGCTTATGTAAGAATCTACTATAATTGCTAGTATATACTAAGAAACAAAAATCATACCACAAATAGAGGCTTCAAAATTTAAACTCTATGAGTTCAACCTTTAAGATTCTTAGTACTAAACTCATTATATTTTTAAAGTATGGGTTCATATTTATTCGTTGTTGCAATTTTAGTAAATTTTTACACATGAATTTATGCTTAGTATCAAAAGTTATGAGTTCAATTGAACCCGTCCATGTTATGCTATACCCGACCCACTTTCTCTTATTTTTGTTATAAAAAACGTAAATATTGTTTTGCTATTAATTATCTTGGTTTTCAACATACTGGTTTAAGCAAAGTATTAAATCAGTTCGACGAGAAATGGTCTTCTAGTAACATTATCTTTAATAAAAGCAATACGCATTCTTATTCTAAAACATCGAGGATATTGTCTTTTAACTTACTCTTATATTAATATTTCTCAGTCAAAATTTCTAGCATAAATAACTTTTTCATTTTTCCTTCTTCCTTTTTTATTTTCTTCCACTTCAACACCGCTAATTTTCTTGTTTCACTTTCAAATTTAACTCCTCTAGTTTGTTAAAATTAATTTCTTATTCTCTATTTAATACTTTGCTTAAACCAATGTATACATTCAGTATAACTATATTGAGAACCAATATAATACACTACAATAAAGTAGTATTTACGTTTTTTATAACAAAAACAAGAGAAAATCGATCGGGTCATGGAATGGTCGAGTCAAGTTTTAAATGGATTTTTTGATTTTTTAAATGGTTGCCCAGAAAAAAAATGAAAAATAATGTGTAATAGTGCCTTAAAAGTGCTGAGTGACTTTTGAGTTACAATATGCAAAGTATAATGACGTAAAGTGACTTTCATACACAATTTCTATTAGTTTAGTGACCATATGAGAAATGCACTCGTTAGAAATATCGAATAATTAAAACATTGGAAGAAAAAAAACAGAATTAGAGCCACTTTTTCAAGAAGATTATATAGCATTTGAAATGTTAAATGGTTAAAGTTCTGAATTCACTATGAATCTTTGACGAGCTTAGACTTGTTGTTGTTGTTGAATACTATTTCTTAACTTTTGCAGACCACTAGAGCTACAATTTCTATATTTACTTATTTATTTATTTATTTATTTATTTCCAACTGAGTATTAGTGCTTGTAATTTCAGTTCATTGCAGTTGACTTCATACTACAAATTTGGACAATCAGAATTCATCTAGAAACTCAAAAAGAATTCAATATTTTAATTTTAAACATTAAAATTTCCAATTTTCCACAGTATTCAAATCCCCCTCAGTTCAATTCTCCTCTCAAATACCCATATTCTCACTTTCCAATTTCTCATTTTTGTAAAAGAAAATGGAAACCACAGAGCTTAAGCTAATGATTAACACCATAATCTTCTTTTTCTTCCTTAATTTTTTTCCAGCTTACTCTGTTGATGTCTGTAACCCAACTGTATGTTCAGAAATGGGTAGGGGACCGGAAATCCGGTTTCCTTTCCGGCTAAAAAACCGGCAATCAGACCGGTGTGGGTACCCCGGTTTTGATCTTTCATGTAATGAGAGAGGTCAAACAATTCTAACACTTCCTTCTGGTGATTTTTTAGTTACAGATATTGATTATACTACACAATCTATTATACTTAATGATCCAGATTTCTGCCTTGTCAAAAGACTCATCAATTTCAATATCACGAATTCTCCTTTCAGAGCTGCTCATCAAAGAAATTACACAATTGTCAGGTAATTACAAATCTAGCACTTCTCAACTGTTCAACTGAATTCATTACTTTCAGTTCGTTTTTTTTTTTTTTTCATAAAATTAGGGGATTGGGAATACGGGGATAAATGAGAATTGGATCCACACTTATTGTGTGTGAGAGCAGAGGCGGATTGAAGATTTGAAGTTTATGAGTTCGAAATGTTATTGAAACCATTGATCATTTGAGTTGCTGGATCCGAAATTTTTATAATTGTATATATTTAGTAGATTTTTTCATACATAAATCAAAGCTACTAGGTTAAGCCGATCCAATAATGTTAATTGTACATATGCCACGGTGTCAGAGGTGGATGTAGTATTCTGTCGGCGGGTTCAATTGAATCCATAACTTTCGACGCGGAGTAAAAATTTATATGTAAAAATTCATTAAAATTGCAAAAATAGTAGATATGAATCCATAATTTTAAAAATATAATATGTTCAATGTTAAAAACCTTAAAAGTTGAACCCATAAGGTTTATATCCTGGATCCAGCTCTGCACGGTGTGAGAGACTTTTGTTGGTATCACTGGACTGTAAGCTTTAGTTAAGCTCATACAATAATATTGTAATTTACTTACTTTAAATTCTGTAGTAAACACCGGGTTCAGTTGCATCTTTTGAGAATTTCTTTTTCTTTTCACTAAAAATAGACAAATATCAATGCATTTAGTTCAAACTGCTGACTTTAGATTCTGAATTCGCCTATGTTGTTAGGTGTACTTCGGATGATTGGTTAAATTACGGAAATTATCCGGTGGCGATTCTCTTATTTTGCCGGGGATTTTCGAGCAGAAATCAGGCGTTTTTAGCTATGCCACCAAATATGTATGCACAAGGAAAGCCACCAGGTTGCAAGTTAATGTCAAAGGTTTCAGTTCCTTTACAATTGGAAGATAACTTTTGGTCTCCAATGGAGGGTCTTGTGCTAACTTGGAGTGAACCCAGTTGTAGGATTTGTGAAAATCAAGGGAAACTTTGTGGGTTTAAGAGTGATTCAGGATCTGATATTGCTTGTTCTAATCTTCCTTCTTCTAAAGGTATGTTTTTTTAGTAATCTTTCTGTCGCATTTGTTATTACTGTTAGTTAGGGGTGAAAAACGGCCGGGTCGGGTCGGATATGAGCAGGTCGAAAATGGGTAACTCAAAAAATGGATAAATTATTCGAACCCGATCCGTATTTGAGACGGATAAAAAGCGAGTTATCCAGCGGATAATATGGATCCATATTATTCATGGTTTCTTGAATATGATCTTCCTAATCTCCCAAACTTGAGGAACCCCCAATTTGAGGCTTTACAAATGTAAAAGTTAAACACACTAGTTATCAATTGGTTATCCATTTAGTTAACCATTTTCTAAGTGGATAATATGGTTCTTATCCATATTCGACCCGTTTTTAAAAAGTTCATTATCCAACCCATTTTTAATAGATAATATGGGTGGATAACCATTTTCTTTTAGTCATTTTGCCACCTCTACCGTTAGTATGTTTTTGGTGGAGCATTCTGTGTAATGTGGGCATTGTACTTTATGTTAGAATGTTTGTACGTTAGACAAGTGTAGGTTATTCGTCAGTTAAGTTATGGAGAAATTCCCTGTAGCGATCACTTCCCTTTTAATAGATCTTACGCAACACCAATCTGAAATAATCAACGAGTGAATATTAAGTTACTAAAAAAGGTTATTCATCATTAATGTGAGTCCAGTTTTTGTCTTTCTTTTAACCCTTTTAAAAAATTAATTTTTTAATAATGTTTGTACGTTTTGCAAATGTGTGTGAGTGTGTAGGTTGTTCATCAATTAAGTTATGGAAAAATTCACAGCAACACGAATCTAAATTAATCAGCCAGTGCATATAGTTATCAATTTTTTTATGTCATCTTTAACGTAGGACCAATTTCTATCTTTCTTTTAACCCCTTTAAGTATTGAATTTTAATAAACCTTGAAAAGATAACAGAAAGTGTTGAAAAGAGTACCAGAGAGTTTCAATAAAGGAAGTGTTGGAATCAATTATTTATGAAGATATGCAAATACTTTACTATCATTTAGCTTTGATTTAGATCTCCTTTTTCAACAAAAGCTCTTTCCAAAATTTTCAAATTGATTCTTGTTGGGGTTGTTGAACTTACATATGTGTTAGTATATCACTTGTCCAGTGTCCCTATCAATAGTGTTGAATGGTCCATGTTCATGCCATGTTACATCATCTATACTATTTTATAGTTGAGGAAAGGAAATATTAAGCAATTTGACAATTTTGGCTGTGGGGTCAAATAATTGTAGCTTACCTAATGAAAGTCGTAACTTGCTTTTGGCTGTTTATTGATTGAGATTGAGTCATGTATGAGGCTCTGATTTCACAAAATTGTTAAAAGTCTTAGCCATCCATATGCCACCACACATAACATGCTATAACTGGAAACTCTCATTGACCCCTCAAAGCTAACATGCCACATTATAGAGAGCTAACAGTCAATCAGGAGTTCACGGAAAAATTCAGTACCTGCTATTTCCAACCAACACAGATTGTTGTGTTGGATAAATTTAGGGAGATGATAAGAAATCACCTAAATCTTTTGTCTTTACCGGAATTTGAACTTAACTCTCCCATGATTGTTCAGCCATTTCAGTGAAAGCTAAGCCACTTCCTTGTATGCTACAATTGTGATTTTTCTACGACTACTACGGTCAAACCTCTTTATAACAACATTGTTTGTTCCGATGTTTTTTGGTTTTTGTAATGAATGACTGTATACACCTATAACAACATTTGACGTTTAACTATATTTTGGTTGTTATAAACAAATTATCCAAAAAATAATTTTTTTAATATTACATATAAAAGATAAGAAAATTATTCAAGTTTAAATGCTCAAAAGGTCTTCTTGAGCCGAGGGTCTTTCGGATACCACCTTTCTACTCCCTCGGGGTAGGGGTAAGGTCTGCGTACACACTATCCTCCCCAGACCCCACTAGTGGGATTTTACTGGGTCGTTGTTGTTGTTGTTTAAATACTCAAAAGCTATGTAAAATTTTACTAATTAAATATTAAAAAAATATAATATATTTTTAATAAATTCATAACTAAATGTATAAAGATTTAACCTCTAAATAATACATTTAAAAGCTACTAGAAAATTAAATTATTTGAAGATTAATGGAAACATTCCGTAATTGTAGCTTGTTCCATAGATTTCAGTCTCTTGCTAGCAATATAACGCTTGATTAGTGAAGATGTCTAAACTTTCACCAAAAAACTATCTAATAGCTTTTCCTTGAGGGGAATCTAAGAGGTTAACAGTTGGAATCTTCTATTTCAGTCCAAGTAGCAATAAGTTGAGGTAAAAAAATATAAACTTATTATTGGTGATCTTATCAAAGATTCCACATGGATGTTATATAGGGGCAATTTTACAAAAAGCGTATTGTTATAAAGATGAATATTGCTTTCATAGCTAAAAAATTGTTATAGAGAGGTAAAATATAATATAAAAAATCAGTTCCAAGAAAAAATTGACTTTTACCGTGAATGATTGATATATGATGATTACTAATAGATTTCTTTACTTTAATGGCCATCTCAAATAAAGTGAGGTAGATATACAAGATTCATACAATTAATCATAACTAATTCGGATTAACGTTTAGGTAATTAATTGAATATTGGATCCTTCGACCGTTGTGAAAACTCATGGTTTTAACAATCGTTAGTATTCTTTGTGCAGGATTACCCAGGGGTGCCAAATATGGCATTATAATTGGAGTTGGAGTACCAGGTTTTGTATGCTTATTAGGATTAATAAGCTTTGCTTTTGGTAAGATCAAGGTTTATACCCTCCGCCGTGATTTGAACTCTGATCTCCCTACCACCATTAATCTACAATCAGCAATCGCAACGACAGGTCTTAACAGGGCAACCATCGATTCCTATCCCAAGATCGTGCTCGGGGAGAGCAAGCGCCTTCCTAACCCCAACGATGGCACTTGTCCGATATGTTTATCGGATTATCAGCCTAAAGAAACGTTAAGAACCATACCAGAATGCAACCATTATTTTCATGCTGAATGCATAGATGAATGGCTTAAGCTCAATGCTACTTGCCCCTTATGTCGAAATACGCCAGATGGTTCTTTACATCCTTGCTCATCATCAACTTCTTTGGTCTCATCTTCTCCATAGACGTCACAAAACTCTATTTTGCCCTGATTTTTAATGTCGGAAATGCAGCTTGTAGTACGGCCTTTCCTCGAATCCTGCACATAGCGGAAACTTAATGCATCGAGTTGTTCTGATTTTAATGTCTTTCATAGGGAATTCTTGTTGTATATAAGTTGTGATCTCGAGGTACTGTAAATGGAAAGAAAATAAAGCGTGTAGGATAGAATTCTTTTTGGCATTGTTTTTTTTTTTTTAGAAAGGGAAAGGAAATGAAAGGGAAAGGAGAGGGGACAATTACGTTTTTTCAGAAAAAAAAAGAAAAAAAAACTTTTAGTATACATATCACTTGTCCTGAATTATAGGGTTGAAACTCGATATAAAAATGGATGATTATGTTCTAGGGATCTTTACACATTTAGTCGGTCATATTTATTTATTTAACCATATATATAGATTATATATTGATTATACACAATTATACTCATATAATACATAAGTTATGCATATATTATATCTCTACCTGTTATTTTTAATTTAGGGATTTTTACCTATCTATACTATATATCAAAACTTATTACCCTCAATGTTTAAGGTTTGTGTTTATTACATTTAAGCATATCAAATTACCATTTC